CCTTCCTTCCTTCCTTCCTTCCTTCCTTCCTTCCTTCCTTCTTTCCTTCCTTCCCTCTGTCCCTTCACTCTATCCCCTTCTCCCTCCCTCCTTCCCTTCTTCTCTTCTTCTCCTCCTCCTGATCCTCCTTCCTTTCTTCTCTTCTTCCTCCTCCCCTCCTCTTCCTCTCCTCTTCCTCCTGCTTCTTCTCCTCTTCATCCTCCCCTTCTTCTTCTCTTCCTCCCCTTCCTCTTCCTCTTCTCCTTCTCCCCCTCTTCTTCCTCTCCTCCTTCTCTTCTACTTCCTCCTCCTCCTCTCCTCCTCCTCTTCTTCTTCTTGCCTCTCAGTGACCTGGAACTAACCAGTTCAGCAAGACCAGCCAGCTAGCCCCAGGCAGCAACCTCTCTCTGCCTCTCCTAGGCTCAGACTACAGATATGCATGGCTCCAATTAGAGGTTTATGTGGGTGTTGGAGACTGGACTCGTGTGCACTTTACTGGCTGAGCTATTGCCCCAGCTCCTCAACATATTTTTTAACCTGTATTGTACTATCTAGATTAGAACACGTACTTTTATGACAGTCATATTTGTTCAATTTATGCTTCCTGGGAATTCACACTTGTTTCTGTTTAGGTCAGATATAAGATCAGAGATCTAGCTCAGAAGTAGAGCACTTGCCTAGTATGCTCAAGGCCCTTGGTTTGTCCCTAGCACTGCAAAAACAATAAACAACTTGCCCAGTTGGGAGTTGCTCACTGAATACCTGAAAGTATTTATAGTGTGTTAATGTCCTAAGTGTGAAGAATATAAAGGTAGGAGTGTTCCAAAGATTTATTACACGAATAGCAAACGTCATATATGCAATATGACATATACATCACACCAAGTAAGAGCATGTTTTCATGCCAAATGAAAACTTTTGAAAACAATTTTTAAAAAAAAATTAATTATGTGTATTTGTATGTGGAGGGCCCCCAGGAGTGTGGGTGTCTACGAAGGTCAGAGGCATCTGATTCAGCTGGGGTTGGAATTACAGGCAGTTGTGGGCCACCCAATGTAGGTGCTGAGAATTGAGCTCAGGTCCTCTACAAAGCAGTTCACGCTCTTTATCACCAAGCCATCCTTCCAGCCCCAAATGGAAGCTTTTTGAGATGATAAAAAAATTGATAATTTTTAGATATTCCTAAAATGAACTAGAATTTCATGCAAAGTGGATCTTATAATAATTTTCATCACTCTTATTTCATACTTTGGAAGCAGCTGTATCTCATAAAAATTGCATTTTTATGATAGACATCCAATTCCCTTTACACTTTTTCTTAATAAAAACAATATTTACAATAATTGATTATTATTATGTGTGAAAACTTAAGTTTAACCCAATTTAGGTATGTTTGCATTTTAAAAGGAATTATTTAACTCTAGAAGGTGGTCTTTTCTTAGTCACAGAGCATACCGCATACTCGCAGAATGTAGTCAATGTAACTCTGCACTTGAAGACATGAGCAGGAGTAGACATGCCTGTGAGCACAAGGTCCACAATAGACTCGACCTTCACAAGAACATGTAGTCTTTCATATCTGCTAGAGTAACTGAGGGATGAAAATGCTACAAACATGGGCTTAGACTCTCTGTACTTTGCATTTCCTTCTGGCTTTTGTAGGAGGAAATGGAGAGGAGATTGAATGCATGCAGCTTCACACAGCGATGAAGTTAAGCACAGAACACAGGTTGTCGAATCTGAGGCCCCGTTTCCCTGCTTTGTCATGCAGAGCCTGACAGATGTCCAGGGCCGCTGAGCTCTCACCTTGAATGTTGAGGTTGAAGTATTTTTTGGTACTCCCGGCTCTGTTCTCGGCGACACACACATACCTCCCGATATCTGTTATCTGAGCATTCAGAATCTAAGGGGAAATGAAGAAATGGCAACTAAAATCATCAACAAAGGAACTTGTGATAGTCTTCCATTGAGAACAGACAAGAGGCATTCTTTCTAGTGAATGCCAGTTGTAAATACACATAAAAACATGAAGCTGCCGGGTGGTGGTGGTGGTGGCACACGCCTTTAATCCCAACACTCGGGAGGCAGAGGCAGGCGGATCTCTGTGAGTTTGAGGCCAGCCTGGTCTACAGAGCGAGCTCCAGGAAAGGTGCGAAGCTACACAGAGAAACCCTGTCTCAAAACAAACAAACAAACAAACAAAAACCAAAACAAAACATGAAGCTGCAGGACAGACCATCCCTGTACTGTTTTCAATTAGTTAGGTCAAGCACACATGTATCTATTTATAAAACTTACAATCAAAAAAGGTGATTTTTACACACATCTGTTGAATTTAAACTACAATTTATCCTAAATTATTCCCCACTTTCCTGTCTGTGAGTCTGAAAAATCACTTTGAAGTCCCCCCCTAAAAGGTGGATTTGTGAATGGCCAGTAGAAGTTTTGAGGCAATGGTGCTGTTCACTTCAGTTAGTCGAAAGTGTCTGCACTGTTGGTCACTTTATTGGAAATTTTGTCCCACTACCATCTAAGGAAGCACGACTTGCCTGCCGGAGGGTGTGATCATGAGGGACAAAAATCAGCTCCCATTGTATTCTACGATGCCAGACAGATAATCCCAGCGGGCATTCAACTCACAGCTCTGCTAACACTTGAGTAAGTTGAGATCTGAATTACCACCTATAGAACCAGTGGACTTGAAAGCTAGAAAAATTCTGAGTGTTCTAAGTCATTAGGTTTTGGAGGGGTTTGTCCTAGGTAGCCTATGTAGTTAAATAATACAGAGCAGAATGCTTATTATGAAGAAACTTCTACTCATCTATGCATCTACAGCCCTAGACATAAAAAACATTTAGTAGGCATTTTGATAGAGTCTGTATTATCATTAAACAGATATATTCAAGTGTAGACAAAGGCTCTAAATTTCAAGTATATTTATAAGCAGTGAGCTTGATTTTTTTTTTTTTAAAGAACATATGTCCTGTGCTGGACCCACTTTTATGCTTGGATTTATGAGGCAAGGGAATATTTTCATTGTGTTCATTAGTAATCTAGTTACACTCTATCCTAACAAAAGAACTACTATGTGTCTACACACTACAGCTTTCTTTTAGGACATTTGAATGGACAAATAGACATATCAATTGACAAAGAGCAGTACAGTATATTTACATGGCTCACATTATGACTTCCCACTGCCTAGGCCAACACAGGATGGATCTAATCTATCGGAAGCCTTTTACCACTTAGAATGTTATCATTACATACATGGAAAGATTGTAATAATAGGGTTTTCTTTAAATTAAAAAAATATGTTGTTAAACCTAAGTGTGTGTGTGTGTGTGTGTGTGTAGATATTCTAGAAGAATTTACACGAAAATGTCACTGTGGTCATTTCTAATTGTGGAGGAAGAATAGGGAATAATTTTGTATGCTTTTGATAGTTAACCATAAATATCAATCTTGATAGTTATAGATAAACAAATATGTTCATAACTTAATATTTTTACCAATCTAGAGGACAACCATCACAATGTCCAAAACACTGTATTAAAATTAGATTTTTTTTCCCCTTTTACCTGAAGAATCCTGCCATCAGATAAGAACTTATGATGTTCATCTTCCACCAAGGGTTGTCCATCTTTCTGCCAGGAATTCCTCGGTGCTGGGTTACCACTGGACGAACATTCCATCCGTGCACTCTTATTAACCAGCACAGTGATTTCTTCTGGGAGATCACCATTTGCTCCCTTGATAACTGGTGGCACTAAGAAATGGTTGTGACAGAGAGATTCTGATGGGACACAATGACTTTAGTAAGGCATGCTATACCACTTTGTCCTCAGGACAAGCTGGACAGACTACATCTTTTAGAGTGAATTTGTGCTCTTAAGAGTGTCTTTATAAGGGGATAATCTGAGCTATTCCCAGCTCCCAGGGCAGAATCAGGGGAACATGTATCAGCATTAACTGGGAGCTTAGTTAGACTCATATTCATGCACCTCACCCACACTTCCTCCACAGCCGTCTCTGGGGATGGACAAGGAATGGATGGTTGAAAAAGCTCTCCAGATGTTCATCAAAGCACATTAAAGTCCAAGAAGTTCTACATTATATTCCCCAACACATTTAAAACAGCACCCTACAATTTATATTCATTTCACTTATGAAAAATCACACATTGTCTGTAGAATAGAATCTGGAAAGGTTCAGTAAATTAGGAGATTGTGTTGGCAACATTCATAAAACCAGATATTTATTTTCAAAGTAAGCAATCACTGTCAAGCTTGATTAATTTTTGTTGCACTCTGTTAAAACACACCAGGTTTTCAACAACCAGTGCATGTTTAATGTAGATGCAGCCTACGGTATTTGGTTCTCCAACAATTAGGTTGAAATTCTCTAAAGAAAATAATCAGTACTGCAAGTACATGGCAGAACTTCAGTGTTATTTTGCATACATTCACATTTAAAGTTACACCATTTCACTGATCACCACTGCCTTCTATGCTGGATCCCCAATGCCCAGCACAGGACCTGCCACACACTGAGCAGTCAACTGATAACTGTCAAATAAATATGATTTTACGTTTTATCTTTTCTGTCTTCTACCTCTTTTTTGGACTTTTACAGACTGCTCTTTGCATAGAAATGTCTAGGTGCTCCCACCTTCCCTCTTTATAATCAGCCCATCAGTCTCTCCTCAGGCTGCTTTCTTCATGCCCAGCCCATACCTCACAGTGGGTTACTTAAGTGATGTGTTATGGTGCTGATACTTGGAGCTCTGTTGCTCCCTGGCACCCACAGTGTGTATCTATGACATCTGCTTCAACTTCCAGACAGGCCATACCTATCTATCTATCTATCTATCTATCTATCTATCTATCTATCTATCTATCTATCTATCTATCTATCCACATTCCTGCCTCCAGAGTTCTGAGGGTGATGACTGAAAGCAATCACTGAATCAAATGGTTCCTACTATAATCATCAGATCCCCATAGCCACCACTGCTGACTTTCTCTGTTTGCCACAGGCTGGTATTCCAAGCTTGCCTCTGTTTGTTTTACACTCATACTTAACAGTTTTGTTAAATATATTTGATATGTGTTTTGTCATATCCCCTTTCTTTCCACTCCAATATCTCTCCATCTCCCCCAAAGGCTTATTGCCATATCAGTTCCTTGTTCCATTATTTCGATACATGCCCTTGGCTCACACTGTGAATTCCTCCACCCCTGCTTTCCACACACATTCTTGAAACTTTAATGAGCCTCTTTACATTCATTTTTTTTTCCTGTCCTTGGCCTATGGGTAAGTTCAAATCTCTTAAATTTGCTCTTTCCAGACAGCTCCATTCTACATCCTGTCTCTATTTTATTTCATTATATCTAATGCATGTTCAAAAATTATCTTTGTTCTGTGTCTTTGACGCACATCACATGACCTAAATTGTTCTGTTGAACCTCACCAACAGACTTGAAGATTCAAAGCCAAAGGCCTTTTACTTTCTGAAACTCATTTTAACATTCAGCATTGAAAACTCACTAGCTGACGACAACTTTTTCTAACAGCCAGAATCTGAGCATAACTGTCTACTGGGTTTCCCTCATTATTTGATTGTCCTTTTCTGTTATATTTTCCTTTTCTTACCTATAAATATTTCCCAATGATGTTCTTTGGTCAAAATGTATATCATTTTTTCCTGTTGGAAATCTTGTCTTTAAATATCACTTGACTGTGGGCAGCTATGGGATCTATAGTCTGGGTTTAGTTCTTTGTCCTTTGTAACAGTTCCCATTTCTTCTCTCTTCTCTTCTCTTCTCTTCTCTTCTCTTCTCTTCTCTTCTCTTCTCTTCTCTTCTCTTCTCTTCTCTTCTCTTCTCTCTCTCTCTCTCTCTCTCTCTCTCTCTCTCTCTCTCTCTTTCCTTTTTCTTTCAAGAGAGTTTCTCTGTGTGTAGTTCTGGCTGTCCTAGAACTCACTCTGTAGACCAGGCTGGCCTTGAACTCACAGAGATCCACCTGCCTCTGCCTCCAGAGTGCTGGATAAAGGTGTGCACCACCCACCTAAGTACCTGGTCAACATTTTATATGAGCATTCTGGAATCGTGATAGACTTAACATACCAACCTTCTTTCCTTCTTTCCTTCCTTCTTTCCTTCCTCCATTCCTTCTTCATTCCTTCTTTCCTTCCAATCCCACCTGCTTTCCCAGAATCTCTACTTTTAATAACCTTGCTATCACTGATTCAGTCACTTGGCACAGAAGTCTCAGTTTTGCTCTGAGATGAGTGTCTATTCCCTCACACCATTTCAACACTTCTGTATAAAAATCTTTCATTTTGACTGTGTGTTGGCTAGTTCTTGTCAACTTTGCACAAACTGAGGCATAGCTGGGAAGGGGGATCCTCAGCTGAGGAGTTGAGAATTCATCAGCTTGGACTGTGGGCAAGCCTGTGGGAACACTTTTCTTGATTAGTGATTGATTTGGAAAAACTCAGTTGACTGTGGGAGGTATCACCCAGAGGCAGGTGGTCCTGGGTTGCGTAGAAGTCCAGGCTGAGCAAGCCACATGGAACAATCCAGCAAGCAGCATTCTTGCAAAGTCTGTTTCAGTTCCTGCCTCCAGGTTCCTGCCTTGAGTGCCTGCCTTAGCTTCCCCCAACAGAGGGTGAGTTGGGATATGTAAGCCGAATAAACCCTTTCCTCCCCACGTTGCTTTTGGTCATGGTTTTTATCATAGCAATAGAAAGCAAACCGGAATATCCTCATGGGTGCTTCACTAGCTTAGTTTCTCTCGGTGCACCTACATCCTGCTTCTAACAATGCCACTTGTCTTAAGGAAACAGTACTTCTTCCCCTTGGTGGCCATATAGCAGAAGGAGCTGATTCTGGCTCCAGAGCAGGCACAAGAATTAGATCTCATCACTAGAACACCAGACTCTTGGTGTCTGTGGTGAATTCAGAGATGCATATGTGATCACACAGGGCTGAGGAACAGTCAGTTCTAGGACTCCGCCCATAAACATCAGACAGGAAAACTGTCATTCAACGTGAAAACTGGAAGAAGTCAATCTAGAGCTGCTAAGGTCCCACCTTGCTACCCAAGGGAACTGCTTGTCTGAGAAGGACATTAACAGCAGCAGCAGCAGCAGCAGCAGCAGCAGCAACAACAACAACAACAACAATAATAATAAAAGGTCAGGAGAAATAGAAAGGTAAAATCTGGATAGCCTGGACCTCTTTTGAGCCAAGGAAGTCAGAAATGATTGATTGTAGATTACTACGCTCTGAGGCTTTACAAATTTGTGAATCAATAATCTATTCTCTACCCCCACCTCTCTCTCCTATTTTGTTATTTGAGATCTTATAAGTCCTAACTGACATACTAATGCATTCTCAGTTTGTGCACGAAACTCTAAGTCCTAAGAAGTATCAGTTTCTGGTTACCTTTATAGTTTCTAATGTGCTTAGGGTAACGTCTTGTAAACATTAGTCATTGAAAAATATTTTGGAGTGAAGAGTGCTTAATCACAAGAGAAAACAAACTTACAGAGTACACGGATGTCATACTGAAGGGAATCTTCCCCAGCCTCATTCACAGCCACGCATGTGTACCTCCCAGCATCTTCTACTTTGGCTCGGGGAATCTGCAACACTCGCCCTCCTGAAAATATAGCCTAGTATGTTATTTCTCCAAACTTCAGAGCAAACACAGATCATGAACACAGTTACATTTTTTCCCCAGGTCTAATGACGTACATTTATTTATTTATTTTTGTCAATGTTCCCACTTACTTTAATCATTCAGTTTTTGTCTTAGATAATATCTATTTTCACAGCAAATATTGCATTGCTAAGAAGTGATCCAATACTGTAATACAAGTCAGACTTTTGGAGAAATGGGGAGCAGGTGTCAATTTTCCTGGAGGAGAGAAGGGTACTCTGTACCCTCCATCATGTTCTGGATGGATGGAATGTTACTGTGTGGTGTTGCTTTGTTCTAGCAGTTTTTTGAGTATTTTTAATTATCTTTCTCAGTATTTCCTACAAAAACTCATTTGAAGATATATATCCAGGGATCTAAAAAAGTAAGGTATACTTTATATGTTTTGTTCAAAATTTCCTGTGCAATCTCAGGGGAAAAAAAAGCTCTGTGTATTTGTAAACTTTTTAATGTTGCTAATAAGATTGAGAGGATAGTTGTAACAGTTACAATAAAAATTTGCACCTCTGTTCACCAATTATGTTCCATATAATTTTATTCATCTCTTGTATCATATGGATAGAATATTTTCCTAAGCCATTTCAGTAAGTTGGAGGCCTGATAACTTCTTGAAACTATATACTCACAGATCTCAATTTCATGGAGATAATTATAATTCTTTATGAAACTATAAAACAACAACCAAAAAGAGGAAATTTAGCGTTTTGAAACATTACTTGTACTAAATCTATAGCCTCTTTTAGATATTGTCACAATATTAATTTTATTCATTTTTACTAGACATTATATTTATTTATACTAGACCTAGACCCAATTAAGGTCATATATTACATAGAGCTACCATGTCTATTTCTTCCCTTTTCATTTGTTTTTTACTTTAAAAAGATATTCTTTCAGTTAATTTGGGTTCACTTTGCATATATTATGCACTACCTTGACCCTAATTGACCCTAAAGGTACAATTTGTGAGTTTTAACAAATCCTGGTATTTGTACACTGAAACCTCAAAAATATTATTCCCCCAAAGTTAAGCATCTTTTCTGACAGCAAATCATGTAATAATTAAAGTATTTGAAACTAAAAATCTTTACTATTGCTCATGAAAAATACAATCAATATAAACAATAACTATTTGCAAACATACATTAGAATTTATATTAATGTTGCATTGAAACCAAATTGACTAAAGACATCAATACAGAAAAAGAGGAGTGAGGAAGTTCAAAGCTTTGTCTAAACTGATAACAACTGTGGAACAGATCTGGAAAGTGAGTTAAAGTGTTCTATTGTCAAATTCTCCGGTAGGCTCTTCTATATAGGGATGACACATCATTCAGCAACCCAAACATTAGTTAAATTATAGTGAACTGGCCCAATAAATAAGAAGAGACACACTTGGCCGAGAGTCTTGCTTTTACATAGCAGTGTTTACCTGGCAAAATCAGTACTCTGTCACTGGACGTCAGAGGGCGGCCATCTTTGTACCATGTCAGAGTTGGGGGAGGAGCAGCGTTTGTCTCGCAGTGCAGAGAAATGGGATTGTTGATGATTACATCTTTGGCTTCACCACTCCTGCTGGTGTCTAGCATGTTTCCTATTTCCCAGAGTTTCTGAAAACTTGGAGGCACTGTGGAGGGAAAGCATGACATCTGTTCACAGAGGGACCGCCACTATCAATATCAGATGAAGGTTTTGACGGCATCTTGACAAATGATATGTGGATTTTATGAATTAGACGATGCCAAAAATATTTTTTAAGTATTTATATGTTTTTCCAACAGCAGCCAGAGAGTAGACATGGGTGGAAGAATAAAATTTATGGTACTCAGAGTCAGTACTTGTTCTAGTAGTTTTTCTAGGAAGACCCTGTCACTTGAGTAACATTGGGACCCAAGAGGAATGTGGCAAGAAATGTGACTGCTGCAGGGAAAGCTAATTCTGAGGCACACACAAAAGAGAATATAGGCTCATTTGATGCCAGTATCAATGATCTGTCTTACTAAGGAAGTTAAATAAGATAAACAATCAGGCCTAAACTATTAAAAATAGGGCATCCTCACTCTTTTCTGATAGGTGTGAGCTTTATCAGAAATAAATTGTCTGTACATTAAAGGCATTTCAGGAGTGTGTGAGTTTGGCCTGAATTTTCAAGTTTTAGACACATTTGAAAAATTAAAGATGTGTGGAAATTTTGTGTATCCAGATGTTAATTATAGTGTTATTAATAAATAATGAAAACCTGGAGACATTTAACTGTAGGAGGCTGGTTATATTAATATTTGAATATACTACTGATGAAATAGGCAAAGTTCTTAAAAGTTATGTTGAGGGCTGGGGTATAGTTCAGAGAGAATTTACTTAGTATGAGTAAGGTCCTAGACTCAATCCCAGCAATGGCAAAAATAATTCTGCTGGATAGCAGTATCAACAATAACAGATATTATTTTTAATCACTTTGGGTGCCTTATCTCATGCATGATTCTCAGCATTCCATCAGGCATTAATTTTATTTTTTTATTTTTATTTTTTTGGTGTGCAATAGCTTATTCTATTCACAATTTGTAGAATAAATTTTTTTTTATTTAGGAGATTTGTATTCAAAAATCAATAAAAAGGTGAGTGTCAACTCTGTTTTTACAGAATTTTTTGGAGTCATTATCAGGTGGTGAAGTATTACTTTTTGTTTTCTTTTCCTGAGACCATGAGGCATTAATTTTAAAGACAAATGATTACAGACTTAAAATAGTTTGGTAATTTGTCCAAGACACAAAGATTATAAGTGTACTCATCCAACTCAAAATGTGTCTACTCTGAATTCCATTATTACTGCTTTTATTGTATTTCATGCAGTAATGTTATATGATACATAACCTTCATGATCTAATGTTGGGGCAAGGCTAATGTAAAAGAAGGCTATTGTCTGTCATTGAATTTTGGAAATGAAACAGTCCCTTAAAATACCAAAAGGAAATACATAAACCAAGAATGACAGGGGTTGGAAAGATGGCTCAGTGGTTAAGAGCACTTGTTGCCCTTGTAGAGGACCAAGGCTCAGTTCCTAGAACCTACACGATGGCTCACAACCATCTGTGATTCCATCTCTATTTGATCCACCACCCTCTTCCATGGACACAAGGAATACATGTGGTGTGTATACATACCATGCAGGCAGACACTCATATACATAAAATAAAAATAAAACCTAAAACAGGATTATGGGATCGTTCTCTTCTATAATTTCTTGTGATGAATTTCATGATGAATCGATATTGTTATGAGAAGAAAAGATTTCAAAGTAAACCAAGTCAAATCTCATTTCTATCACATTAATAGAGCATGGAAATCATTCTACAATAAGCATAGTAGTATTACCTTGGATATTCACATCAAAATCCAACTCATCTTCGCCTGCAAGGTTAGATGCAACACAAGTGTATCGTCCAGTGTCTGATATTTGAGCTTCCTTGATTTGGAGAGTGTGTCCATTGGCAGCGATGTTCACATGATCATCAGACTTCAGGGGCTGTGATTCAATTATAGTAATGTCAGCATGGAGTATGCGAGTAAAGCTAAGATACCCTGCAGACGATGGGCATTATGGTTCTTTAATAAATGGAAACATGTAAAATATCCAAGATAGCAGTAATTAATTTAATTTGATCAAACTGTTTTCTAAGTAATACAAATTTTATATCTTGCGAATTATAGCTGATAAGGTTCACATTTTCCAGGCAATTGCAGGAGACACATTCATATGTTCTTTATGACAGGAAACATGCTCTTAGTACAATGTCCATCTATGCATGGAAGCAAAAGGTCCTCTAGCTAATATTAAGCACTTAAGAAGGGTGTCTTGTTGATAGTTTCATAGAAAACTGTAATAAAGAAAACTTTAAAAGTTGAGGACATTATTACAATCTGATTTGATCCAAAATTATTGTTATTCATTCAAAAACATCCTTAATTTCATACCCAATCTAGGGCTTGTTATGTTATGATACTTTGTTGAAATGGGCATCATAGGTCTCCCTTCATTATTTGAAGATTTTATTCCTGACTCACTGGCATTCCTTCTAATGATATGTCCTTCATTATTCTTAGTGATTTCGGTACCTACTGTCAAGCCAAGCCATGTTCTCTCAGCTTCTTGACTTCCTCTCTTAACCACACCAGTGTCTATTCATTTCTTCCCACTAGACAGTTTCATTCTTATGGGAGTGGTTCTTGCGGCCTACCTCCACATTTCCTGAGGCGTTTTACAGCCAACCACTTAAAAAATGTTTTCTATGTAAATGGTGTCTAATTTTGTCCTCTTATCTTTCCTTGAATCTGATCCAATCAAACCTTTGTCTTCTCTACTTGATGAGAAAGGCAGTCAAGGTCACCCATGACATCCATGTGGCTGTGTTTACCACTCACTACTGTCTTTGTTTTCTCTTCTTGGTGATATTTGACATAGTGTAACTTGTCTTCATCTTGAAATAGCTTTTCCTCTTTTGTAGTTTGAGACACTACAGTCCTTATTCCTCTATTCTCAAAGGCAGACATACACATGTCTCTTGTCATGTAAGTGTGTGTGAGTGAGTGAGTGAGTGAGTGAGTGTGTGTGTGTGTGTGTGTGTGTGTATACATGAGTGCAGGTGTATGAAGAGGCTAGAAGAGGCCATAAGCTGGAGTTATAGGCAGCTGTGAGCTGAGTTGTGTGTGTTTGCTCTCTGACTAACTTTTCTATCCCATCTGTCACATTCTGTTTTACTGACTTAGTCTTTTTAGGATTTTTGTTTGTTTGCTTATCTCTGAAAATTTACACGGGCAGAGATTTTTGGCCTGTTTCTTTCTTGTCTATATTTGTTGTCCATAAATAATGCCTAGCAAACAGTTGAGATTCAAATAATTTGGGATGCAACAAACCATTATTAATATTACATCACAAATAAACCTGCCACAGTTTAAATTTCTTGTGTCAAAGTAAAAATTTCAGGGCATGGATAAATAAAATGTAAGGATTATATTCAAAATTATTATAGCTGATATTGTCACTATCTTTTGATGGTTTTTCTTAAAAAAATACTACTTCATTAAATTTTAGTTAAAGAAAAAATAACTGAAAAATGATATGGAAAAACTTTTTGTTGAAAATATGACTTCTTATTCATAATTTAGGAAACCAACCCAAGCCTTAAAAAGTTAGAATTGTCAGTCAATATAATTTCAGAGACTGAATTTGAAGCTGTGATTTAACAACTCTTAATGAGTTTTGAAAGCAGTCTAGTTTCTACTTAAAATTCTGGTGTTTCCTTAGTTCTTAAATTTGTGGCTCTCTCTATGTGCAGTAATGTAAGGGATGAAAAGGCTTTATAGAAAATTAAAAACAAATTAGTGATATAATTTCAAAGGACAGGGGACTTACTTGTTGGAAAGTAAGGCTTTACCGAGTTGACACCACATCTCACTGTGTGCTCACACTCTGAAAAGCCAGCAGAGCACGGTGGGAGTTCTGTACTTTTCCGTTTGCAATGGCTTCCAGATGATATGTGCTTATTTTATATGAAAAGACCCCCCCTGGTCCCCCACTGCTGATATAGCAGAATCCATCTGGGACTGGAAGAAAAACACGAAGCCACATCTTTTTTGCCTCTTAAGTCATACTGTGCCCAGAACTTCTACAACTGGAATTTAACTGACCATTTGGTTGATTATGTGTAAAACAGGATAAGGCACAGCTTCGCTGTTTCACATCTGTATTTAGTAGTGTTAACAGCAACTACATATTCTCTTTTGGCCTCCGAGCATCAGCACATGTGTCCTTGCAGCATGTGAGAAAGAATAGGAAATGAGTGAGGAATAGGGGATGTCTTCTGAAACTTACACCATAAACAGAAGGATCTAATCTTTTTAAATGTAAAAGCTCGATTTTAAAAAAACAATTTTAATTGTGTATATTATATCACTTCTTTTACCATTCCTCCCTTGAACCCCTCTCATGTCTGTCCCTTCACTCTCAAGTTGATTTTTTATTTTGTATTTCTCTCTGCCCTAGGGTAATCGTAGTGTGCCTTTATATCTTATTTTTTCTCATATTTTAGGATATCAAAAATGTTATCTTTTGTAAAAGAGTTAAAGATGTTCAGAGAGAGTTCTGAATAAATTTAGTCCTCATTTTAGAATCATACACATGCTTCTTCTCTATAACAATTTATTTATTTGGGTAAAACACTGTTCCTCTACTTCTCCAGCGGGAGGGTAGCCAGATTTTCACAGTCAAGTGCTAATGCACACAAAACCAGTCTTGCTTACCTCTAAGTAGTGGAACAATACTAAAGTTATTGAACACGGATGCTTTTCATTTTATTTATTTTCTAAGCAGTTTCAGATCCGAGGAGCATGGGATTGACTACTTTTAATACCACAGTGGGTGGGGCCAATCTCTCAACCCCCCCTGCCTTGTTTCTTTTTAAATTGGTATTTTAATCTTCAAGAAATAATCAACAAACAGAACATAGTTATGACTGGCCTGTCCATCCTTGTACCAGCGGAGCAAGGCAGAAGGAATGGCGTAAGCTTCACACTCCAAAGTCAGGCTGTTGTTCACCCTGATCTTCACTTCTTTAGGGGAAAGGCCTGGCCCCAAAAGGTCCCCTTTCTTGATGATGGGTGGAACTGCACAAAACGAATATTAAAGGGTTAAATACTGGTTGTTTTCAATTCACAGTCTACCACAGAAACCACAATGAGGAGCAATTAACAAGGTCCCAAGGAGATGAGGGGCATTTCTTCACAGGCCTTCTATGAAAGACCTCAGTTAGCACCCCAGGAAACAGGAGTTTTCAGATATACAATATGGAAAAAAAAATCACTATCTTTTCATCTGATCCAGGCTCACATAGTCCAACTGTGACCCATAAAAGATATTGTATTGGTTATTATTGTACCAAGTCAAAGTAAAAATGACAAAAAGAAAAATACACTTTGTTTATAACATAACAGCAAGAACATAGGAATAAAGACCTTACAATGTGGCCCCTATTAATGACAGTATGAGCTTTGCCTTTTACTTATAGGCTGGGGTATGTTGTGGTAACCCCCAAATACTTTTGATCTCATTTGGAGCTCTGGAGTAGGCACCTGCATGTAAACAACACTCCAGCAGGTAGGTAATGAGTGGATCCAATGGACTCTTCACAAAGGTTGTCTGAATATATGTGTGTGATGGAGTGGGGGGGGCACATGTGCACATGTATGCTTTTGTAGCCCCAAGGTTGATGCCAGGTGTCTTCTTCAATTGTGCCCTACATTATATATTGATGCAGGGTCTCTTGCTGAACTCAGAGCTTAATGTTTTGACCAGAGTGGCTAGCCAGCTTGTTTGGGCATTTCCTGTCTGCCCCTGAAGTACTGGGTCTGCAGGCAGGCCTCCATACCCTTTGGACATTTACATGGGTTCTGGGCTTCTTAACACTGGTCTTCATGCTTGGGTAGCAAACATGCTAGTCACTGAACCATCTTAAGTGGCTCTTCACATCTTAAGTGGCTCTTCACATCTTTAAGCAACTGAGGCCATGGACATGATATTTTAATGCAACTTCCATCCTCGATGAGGCAAGCTAGATAGGTAAGAGTATCAGTATAAATAATTAGGGAAAATAATGAAAAATGGGATTTAAGAAGCTAGAAATCACAAACTAAAAGAAAAAAAAAACACGATCATCTCATAGATGCTGAAAAAGCCTTTGACAAAATCCAACACCCCTTCATGATAAAGGTCTTGGAGAGATCAGGAATACAAAGAACATACCTAAACATAATAAAGGCGATTTATAGCAAGCTGACAGCCAACATTAAATTAAATGGGGGAGAAACTCAAAGTGATTGAATTTCTTAAACTAAAATCAGGAACAAGACAAGGCTGTTCATTCTCCCCATATCTATCCCCATAGTACTTGAGGTTCTAGCTAGAGCAATAAGACAACAAAAGGAGATCAAAGGGATACACATTGAAAAGGAAGAAGTCAGACTTTCACTGTTTGCAGATAATATGATAGTCTACATAAGTGACTTCCAAAATTCTACCAGGGAACTCCTACAACTGATAAATACCTTCATGTTGCAGGATACAAGATTAACTAAAAAAATCACTAGTTCTCCTATATACAAATGATAAATGGCTGAGAAAGAAATCAGAGAAACATCACCCTTTACAATAGCCACAAACATTATAAAATACCTTGGGGTAACTTGAACCAAACAAGTGAAAGACCTGTATGATAAGAACTTTAAGTCCTTGAAGAAAGAAATTGAAGAAGATATCAGAAATGGAAAGATCTCTGTGGTGATATTGTGTCCCCTAATGTATTGTGCACCCTAATAAACTTATCTGGGGTCAGAGAACAGAACATCCACTAGATATAGAGGCCGAAAAATGGTGGCACATGCACCTTTAATCCTAGAATTCCAGAGGTAGAGATCCATCTGGATCTCTGTGAGTTCAAAACTATACTGGAAACGGCCAGGCATAGTGATGCACACCTTTAATCCCAGGAAGTGATGGCAGGAAGCAGAAAGGATGTAAGGTGTGAAAGCCAGGAACTACAGTCTTGTTAAGCTTTTAGGCTTTTAGCAGCAGTTCAGCTGAGATCCACTTGGATGAGGACACAGAGGTTTCAAGGAAACAAGATCAGCTGAGGAATTAGTGAGATGTGGTTAACTGTGACTTGTTCCATTTCTCTGATCTTTCAGCGTTCACCCAAATATCTGGCTCCCAGGTTTGCTTTTATTAATAAGACCTTTTAACAATTCATGCTACAGATCTCCTATGCTCATGAACAGGTAGAATCAACACAATAAAAATGGCAATCTTACCAAAAGCAATCTACAGATTCAATGCAATCCCAATCAAAATCCCAACAGAATTCTTCACAGACTTGGAAAGAACAATACTCAATTTCATATGGAAAAAAAAAACCCTAAGATAGCTAAAACAATCCTTTACAATAAAGCAACTTCTGGAGGCATCTCAACCCCTGACTTCAATGTCTATATAGAGCTACAGTGTTAAAAACAGCTTAGTACTATCATAAAAACCAACATGTGGACCAATGGAATCAAATTGAAGATCCTGACATCAATCCACACACCTATGAATGCCTAATTTTTGACAAAGAAGTCAAAACTGTGCAATGGAAAAAAGAAAGCATTTTCAAATGGTACTGGCATAACTGGATGTCAACATGTAGAAGATTGCAAATAGATCCATATCTGTCACCATGCACAAAACTCAAATCCAAGTGGATCCAAAACCTCAACATAAATCCAGCTACACTGAACCTGATAGAGGAGAAAGTAGCAAGTAGCCTAGAATACACTGGCACAGGAGACCACTTCCTAAATATAATACTAGTAGTACAGACACTGAGAGCAACAATTAATAAATGGGACCTCCTGAAACTGAGAAGCTTCTGTAAAGCAAAGGGCACGGTAAATAAGACAAAATGACAGCCTACAGAATAGGAAAAGATCTTCACCAACCCCACATCTGGCAGAGGGTTGATCTCCAAAATATATAAAGAACTTAAGAAACTAGACATCAAAATACCAAATAACCCAATTAAAAAATGGGCTACAGATCTAAACAGAGAATTCTCAACAAAAGAATCCAAATGGCTGAAAGACATTTAAGGAATTGCTCAACATCCTTAGTCATCAGGGAAATGCAAGTCAAAATGACTCTGAGATACCATCTTATACTTGTCAGAATGGCTAAGATCAAAAACACTGATGACTGCTTATGTTGGAGAAGATGTAAAGCAAGGGGAACACTCCTCCACTGTTGGTGTGAGTGTGGACTTGTACAGCCACTTTGGAAATCAGTATGGCGGTTTCTCAGAAAATTGGGAATCAATCTCCCTCAAGACCCAAGGATATCACTCTTGAGTGTATACCCAAGAGATGCTCAATCATACCACAATGACACTTGATCAACGATGTTCATAGCAGCATTATTCATAGTAGCCAGAACCTGGAAACAACATAGATGCCTGCCCCTCAACTGAAGAATGGATAAAGAAAATGTGGTACATATACACAATGGAGCATGACATCATGAAATTTACAGGCAAATGGATGGAACTAGAAAATATACTCCTGAGTGAGGTAAGCCAGACTCAGAAAGACAAACATGGTATGTACTCACTCATAAGTGGATACTAGATATAAAGCAAAGGATAACCAGACTACAACCCACAGATCCAGAAAAGCTGGGAAACAAGGAGGACCCTAAGAGGGATGTACGGTTCACCTTGGGAAGGGGAAACAGATATCTCCATGAGTAAACTGGGGGTGGGAGGACAATAAAGGGGAGGGGGAATGAGAACATGAGGGAATGAGATGGTCAAGCTAGGGGAGGGACAGAGTGGGAGATCAATGAAAGAGATATCTTTATAGGGGGAGACATTATGAGGTAAGGGAGAAACCTGGTGCCAGGGAAATTCCCAGGAATCCGCAAGGACGACCCCAGATTAGACTACTAACAATAGTGGAAAGGGTGCCTGAGCTGGCCTACCCTGGTAATAAGATTGGTGAATACCCTAACTGTCATCATAGAGCCTTCATCCAGTAACTGATTGAAACAGATGCAGAGACCCACAACCAAGCACCAGGCAGAGCTCTGGAAGCCCAGTCAAAGGGAGGGACAAGGGATTATATGAGCAAGAGAGTTTAAGATCATGATGGGGAAATCTATAGAGACAACTAAACCAAGCTCATAGGAACTCACAAACTTTAGACCAACAGCTGTGGAACCTGCATGGGACCAGACTAGACCCCCTGTATACAGGAGACAGTTGTGTAGCTGGGTCTGTTTGAGGGGCCCTGGCAGTGGGATCAGGATCTATTCCTGGTGCATGAGCTGACTTTTTGGAGCCTATTACCTATGGTTGGACACCTTGCTCACCAACGATGCAGGGGGGAGGGTCTTGGTCCTGCCTCAACTGAATATACCCAGCTTTGTTGTCTACCCCCTTCCCATGAGAAAACTTACCATTTTGGAGGTAGGGATGGGGGATGAGCCGGGGGGAGGAAGGTAGAGGGTGGGGAACAGGAGGAGGGATAAGAAGGGGATCTGCGGTTGGTATGTAAATGAATATTTTTTTTTTAAAATAAAAATAAAGAGCCAGAAATCTTCAGGCAGAGGTGAGATAAAGTGTTCTTTTAGAACTTACTGTAGACTTTCACTTCATAGTGCTTTATCATTTCTCCAGCCTCATTAGTGGCCACACATGAGTATCTTCCCGCATTGTCTTCTTGTGCATTAAGTATCTGCAGGGTGCGGCCTCCTAAAATGTTAAGGAACATAAAAGAAAGAAATGGGCAATGTACAAACTGCTGGGAATTTATTTTATTGAGAATATTGATTCTTTCTTTTTCTCCTTTCTCTTCTCCTCCTCCTCTTCTTTACTTTCCCCTCTTCTTTTTTTGGTTTTTGAGATAGGATTTCTCTGTGTAGCTCTGGCTGTCCTGGAACTTTCTCTGTATACCAGGCTGGCCTTGAACTCAAAGATCCACCTGCCTCTACCTTCTGAGTGCTGGAATTAGAGATGTGTACCAACACCACCTGGCTAAACATTGCTTCTTATGAATGTCAATTTAGTGGTAGATATTTGATATAAAGTAAGCCACAATACACATGGGGCCTACGTAAAAAAAATATTTTATTTTCAATTCCAGTTTTGTACAATGTATTCTGATCATATTCAACTCCTCTACACCTTCCCTGATCCACATACCTTCCTTGTCCACCCAACTTTGTCTCCTTAAAAACAAAACAAAACAAAACAAATTTCAAACACATTCAAGACAAATTTGTGCTAACTAAAATAGATTTAGGTGTGTGGTCTTCCAACTGGACTGAGGTTGACTCATTAGGGACAGAACCTGTGCAAGCCCAAATTGGGACAAGTTTCAGCAGAGAGGGCTAGCTGGCAGTCAGTCCCACCCCAGAGCCAAGGAGCAATTGGCAATTGTTAGCCTGGAAAAGGAAGGTTCCACATTCTCTATTTCATACTTTCATAAGAAGGTCCCCGGCTTTGCCATTGTGTTCCTTTAATTGACCTGGCCTATCAGAGATTCATTTTGCTAAAACACAGTTTGGAATATGGTACCTTTCTCTCTAACAACTGTCAATAGGGGCTGGAGGGATGGCTTAGTGGTTAACAGTACTTGCTGTTCTTCCAAAAGCACCTGAGTTTAATTCCCAGAACCCATGTTGGGTGGCTCACAACTGCCTGGAACTTAGCCAGCTCTAGGGGATCCAATGCCCTCTCGCAGATTCTTCGGGTACCCCCACATGAGTACATGCATGCCCTCCAAGTCACATATGCATAAATAAATATAAAACATATCTTTAAAACACTGTCATTAGTTCTCACTTGTTCAGTGCATAAAGTTAAATTAATCCAGTGGTTCAAATAGTGCTCAGCTTTCCTCCCTGACTGTCTTCATGTTTCTTCACAATGCTTCCCCATAACTGGTGACTGCACCTGACCATGCTATTCCCACCTGCTGCCTTTTGTCCACTAGTCATCTTGATGGATCTGGAACCTCTCCCAACTTACCACCAACCAAATAAATTCTAGTACTTAAAAAAAAACAGGCCCATATTCTGGTTAGGCAGTGAAGATATTTCTGACCATTTAAGTCCACAATGGCCAATTTGTCTTCTGAATTTTTATAAACCTTGTCACCACTCCATTTTTCATACCTCCCCTTCATTCATAATGCATGGTTGTTTTCAACTTCATGGTGATAATAAGTTTTTGCTCTTATCTCTCTTCCACATAAGGTTAAATGTCTTAAAGACAATAATTATAGTTTTTAGTTCTTTTTCTTCCCACACATACTGGCAAATATGAGAGAGGAATAAACCCAGTCTACATATTAACTCTTTTAAGGCTGAATCCTCTCAAAATAAATTTCCATACCTGGAAGAATGCGGATATTCCGGTTGGATTCTAAAGGTGCTCCGTCCTTGAACCAGGTGATGGTAGCCGGGGGATAGGAGTATGCCTCACAGACCAGAGACGTGGGGCTGTTAAGGATGACAATGACATCTTCAGGGCTGCCATCGCTGTCTACACCAGCAATTGTTGGAGATACTGAGAAGATTGAAAGTTTTATTAAGGCAACATTCTTAGGAATTTCTCTAGGTATGTGTTCCTGAATTGCCACTGTGCTTATCCATGCAATCCCAGTTTTTAAGAGTTACAAAATAATTAATCATTACTATTCTATATAAAAAATCAGTGAAAAATGTCACAGAGTAAGGGGGGAAGGTGATATATACAAAAGAGATGCTAATATACTGTGGTAAGTGGAACACAGATCTCCCAGGTTTGATTCATATGTATCCTCCTGTATAAAACTATGTCAGTTCTGCCTGTAGAGATAGTCTTGTACATCACCTACTCTTTATAGATGCTACTACTTGATGCTATTTATTTGATGGCCTTCACATCTACTGGCATTCTGGTGGACCTTTTTTGCATATATGCACATATACATGTGATCCATTTAGATGGTGACCTCTCTTTGAGGCTCCTATTTCATGTGGGAGTATGAGAGTATTTGTCTATATGAGAATATTTATGCACTCTCCAAATTATGTAGGTATAACTACAAAAATGATTGAAAAAAATCTGAATATTTGTATATTCACATACAGGTCAGTTGAGTTGAGTGTGAGTTATTAAGTATCGGTCATCAAATGTAATACATTTAGGTGGTGCATGTTAGATTGGAAAAACTGAGTAGAAACTTAGAATCCATTTCGATGACATGCTTGAGACATAAACCTGACTCGGATGCTGTAGGACTAATGTTGATGCGTCAATACATTCAGATGTTTAATCACACCCAGGGCACAACCTCCAATAAAGGCAGAGGCTCAGGGAGAAAGGTCGGGGATCTCAGGCTGAGACTCACTGTTTCTCTGCTTCTCCTTGATCTGCTGACAACTTTCTCCTTCACCATTGAACATTTAAATGTCTACCTTGATCCTTGTTCCTTGCACAAAACACTATGTCCGAACATCGTGTATTCCATAGCAATGAAAGAATGAAATAAAAACAGCCTACAAACACGAGTGCTGGTATCCTTCACATAATGAAATTCTATGATAGAAATATATATATATAGATATAGATATATAGATATAGATAGATAGATGATAGAGAGATATATAGATATAGATGATAGATAGATAGATAGATAGATAGATAGATAGATAGATAGATAGATAGATAGATGATAGATAG